AATAGGTTATGAGAAGAGACATACTCATCAGCTAGAGGATGTCATTGATAATGATATAACACTAAATTCTCCCTGCTTATTTACAAGGAAATGTATAGTGGTCAGAGAGAGAATTGCATATTGGATCTTAGGGGTTGAAGAGTTCATCAATTGTGTTATGAAAGTGCGTCATTTTGCTACCACGCTACCCAAAAAGGCTGCTCACCCTAAAGACCTGGTTGTTAAAATTTGTCTTGCCATCATGGCAAGGGGTTATTAGGCACGGTAATACTTAGAAACTACGCTTTTTGCATTCCATGTTTGTACATGTGGTAAAGAATTCCACACACATCATTAAAAAATTCCCCGCACATCCAACAGGTAAACTTCTCTCTGTCTTCTTTAGAGAGTTCTTTACACTTGTGTCGTCTAAATCCCCTCTCAGTTTGTAAACCTTGCTTGCACTGGCTGCACTGAAAGGTCTTGCGTCCACAGCATGACCTTCTATGACGTGATCCGTAATTACTTGTAGCAAAACACTTGTCACATTTATGGCATTTATAAGGTTTCTCCCCAGTGTGTGTCCTTAGATGTATTCTCAACTCAGTAGACTGATTAAAACCCTTATCACAGTATGTACAGTTGTGTGGCTTCAAGCCAGCATGATTCCACAGGTGTGCTTCGACATGTGATGACCGGCTTAAGTATGTGTCACACTGAGGGCATTTAAAAGGTTTCTCACCAGTGTGGCACCTGAAATGCTCTTTTAAGTTTGATGACCTTCAAAAGCATTTATCACAATGGCTGCATTTGTGTGGTCTCTCACCGCTGTGAATGATGTGATGCCTTTTTAAATCACTTGAGTAAACAAAGCTCTTATCACACTGTGTACATTTGTATGGCCTCTCACCGCTATGAATCCTTAATTGATGCATTTTCAGATACCTGGAGTGAACAAAGCTCTTATTACACTGTGTACATTTGTATGGCCTCTCTCCACTATGAATCCTTAAGTGACTTCTTAAACTTGAAGCCCCGCTCAACTTTTTACCACAGTTAGGACATTTGATGAGTTTTCTTGCAGGTTTGTGTGAAGTGCCCATAACCTGTTTAGCCAAACTGTTAAAAACAAGAGAAAATAGTCAGTGACAATATAGCAGATAAAAAAAAAAAAAAAAAAAAAAAAAAAA